TAACAGAAAGAAACCTGTGCTGGATGCAGGTGGCTCATACCTGTAATCCTAACTACTCAGGAGGCTGAGATCTGAGGATCTTGGTTCAAAGCATTCTTGGGCAGACAAATCCCCAAGAATTTTATCTCCCATTAATCAAAAAACTGAGCCAGCACTGGTGTCTCACCCCTGTAATCCTAGCTACTCAGAAGGCTGAGATCTGAGATTGGAGGTTGAGGCCATCCCAGGTAAGAAAGTCCGTGAAACTCTTATCTCCAGTTGACCACCAGAAAAACAGAAGTAGAGCTCAAAGTAGTAGAGCACTAGCCTTGAACAAAAAAAGCTCAGGCCCTAAGTTCAAGCCCCATGACCAAAAGAAAAAAGAAAAAGCTGGAAGTGAAAGTGTGGTTCAAGGGATTAAAAAAAAAAACAGCTTTGAGCAGAAAAGCCAACAAAGAACATGAGGCTCTATGTCCAAGCCCCAGTACCAATATGTGCATGTCACACACACACACACACACACACACACACAGAAATTTACAAAATTTTTAGACAATGCCTATTTTCTTGCTATTTTTTTTATTTTAGAAAACACTTGTTTTTCCAGCAAAATGTCATATTTTGTTATAACAAGCAACAGGTGTATTGTTTCAAAGGAATTAGAACAATTTTAAACATTTCCAGCATTCACATATGGCAAATACTGACAGAGATAAAAATCTTTGGGATCCTCGAGTTAAAGGGATAAAAAGATCTCTAGACCAAAAAGTAACTACTAAACCTCTGGGGCCTAGAAAAACCTTAATTGAGGTTTTACTTGCTCCTTGGGAAAACTCCTAAAAGAAAAAGATACACATTTCTTCCTTTCATGAATCTCCCAACTCGAGGTCAGGAAAATTCCAGAATCTGAAGCCAGCTTCATGGGCACAGACTGTGTGGGCTGTCAGATGCAGAGCTGGGGGCGGAGGAGAATAAGAGGGTCTGAGGACAATCACTTGAGTTCCTCTAAGTCAGTTGCCCACACACATAATGCTCTGTCACCTCCCAGGATTTACAAGACTTACAGGACTAAAGTGCTGGCTAAAAAAGTCAGGCTCCCAAAAGCAACGAGATAGAAGGTGGAGAAAAGAAGGGCAGGGAGGGAGGGAGGAATACAACACGTGTTACCCAGCAGGCCAAGCTGGCTGTAAGTTGACCCACATAGGGAAAGGTGGGCCTTTTCTAAGAGGATCGGGATCACCCTGAACTTCAATAAGCAGTCCTAAATCTCCTGTGTCCTCTGCTTCCTCTCACCTTCTCCATCTGGGCTGCCCTTCCCCAGAAAGCTAAAGCCCAGGGTTCCACTTTAGTTTGGACCCTCAGAATATACTGGTCCTGAGACTGGAGGGTAAACCAGAAGATGGGAGAGAAGTTGGTTTGACCATATCACAAGGTTCAAAGGTCCAGAAGTCTTGAATGGGTCTGCCTGAAGTCATTAATAATCCAGTCACAAGTCAGTGGGAGAGAGGCTCACCAGCTGTCTCTGGCCTTTGTTTGGTTTCATTATGATTTTTGTTTTCAGTCCTATTAACTTCTTATTCTGAGATCATTATAGAGTCAAACTTTGTTGTGAACATATAATACAGAGATTCCAGCACACTTTCTTTGGTGAACCCCAAAGGCAACATCACGAAAGTTACTGTGTGGTGTGGCGGGCAGGAACGCGACCACATCACCATCTGCCAAGCTCAGTCCCATTTCCCCCCTCGTTCAGCAGTGTTCTGCCTTGCATATTTACTGGGCTCTACCCACCTGTTGCCACCACAGTCAAATGCTAACAGTTCGTTGCCACTGGAGCCACCAGAGCAATCCTCATCTCAAAGCACCCTCATCCACTCCAGCCCCTTACCCTTGGTGATCACTAAGCTGTCTCCTATTGTTAGCTTTCTGCAATCTCAGAAAAACAAAAACAGAGGCTGGGAAGGTGGCTTTAGTGGTAGAGTGTTTGCCTGGCACTCATGAAGCCCTGGGTTTGATTCCTCAGTACTACATAAACAGAAAAAGCCAGAAGTGGCACTGTGGCTCAAGTGGTAGGGCGCTAGCCTTGAGCAAAAGAAGCTCAGGGACAGTGCCCAGGCCCTGAGTTCAAGCCCCAGGACTGGTGGAGGGGAGGAGGGGAATCATCCTTATATCAACAGACTCCACTAGCAGGTAACCTGAGGCTTGGCTTTTCCCACTCCCTGTCATTCCTTTCAGAACTCCTCTCAGCTGTCTTGTGAATCACAGTTCATGCCTTCACTGCCCAGCAGTGCTCCATTGTGCAGGGGAGCTGCACAATGTTTTTCAGTCATTTGTCCACTGAACAACATGGGGGTGGTTTCCGGTTTGGGGGTATGGCATTCATGGACAAGTATCTATGTGATTGTAAATGTTAATTTCTCAATATAAATACCCAAGAGTACAATCATAGGATCGTCTTCTAATTACTTGCTTTATTTAAAAGGAGACTACCAAGCCACTGGTGACTCTCACCTGTAATCTATTACCCAGGAGGCTGAGATCTGGAAGACTGAAGTTGGAGACCAGCCTTGAACAGAAAAGTTTGCTAGATTCCATCTCTAAATAACCAGCAGAGAATATAGCTAGGAAGGGCTGGGAAGGTGGCTCAGTGGTAGAGTGCTTGCCTTGCATGCCTGAGGCCCTGGGTTCGATTCCTCAGCACCACCTAAGCAGAAAAAGCCAGAAGTGGTGCTGTGGCTCAAGTGGTAGAGTGCTAGCCTTGAGTTGAAGAGCTGAAGGACAGCGCCCAGGCCCAGAATTCAGGCCCACGACCGGACCCCCCCCCAAAAAAAAAGAATGGAACCTAAGTGTCAATAACAGATTTGAGTCACACACACACACACACACACACACACACACAGAGGCTGAAGGCAATTTCTTTAAGATAAGATCTCTTCGCTAAGTAGCCCAAGCTGTTCTCAAAATCACCATCCTCCTACCTCAGCATCCCAGGTCCTAGGACTACAGGCAGGTAGTACTAGGTCCCCCATAAAGGTCATTTTCTGTCATGTTTTGAGCACACCTGAGCCTTGCCTGCACCCTATCACACAAAAAAGTATGGACTTTTCTACTTATGTCATCACACAGGCTTTCAACACATTTCCAATTTTGGAACATGTCAAAATCCCAGAGTCAGGGATGCTCAGCCTGTAAAATCCAGTGCCCTCACTATAGATGCCACCTCTTCCCAGTCGGTCCTTCCATGGGCTGTGTTAGCACCAAGTGCTTGCAGAGTATGCCCAGGAGCTCAGGAAACAACTGGGCTACTCCAGAGACAACAGAAAGCCTAACATTCAGGGATAGGCCAAGGGGAGGTAGGGGGAAAGATGGAAGGAATGAATGTGCACAGACCTCAGCTCCAATGTGCCCTTGGCACATGCCCACAAAGGAAGTCTTTGGTTAAATCATCCCCCTTTCATCTTGAAACAAGAATCAAATGTGCAGAGCCAGGGTGCTCGAGACCCAAGCTTGGATGCTGGGAGCTCAGATCCTGCTCTACCAACTTGGGCCAGGTTCTAAACTTCTCTGAGTCTCAGTATCATATGGATGTCAGCATCCATACCACAGGACACATAAGATAATGTAATGAGATAAAAATTAACAAGAATAGAATATCCATACAGTCTGAAAACAGACCATATGGACAATATAATTCACTCATGTTATAGAGTAAAAATGTCCTAGGTAACATGTATGTGTCTGTTCCCAAACTTTATAGACATCATAGGATAATATCAATTAGGAATCTAATAAAATAAAAATACTAATCATATGACAAAACATATTAATGACTACTTCGTTTCACAAAGGACTATGTCTAAGAAAACTTCACAGGTATGATTTAACCACTCCCCAATACCATGAAAGTTGCATCAAAGATTAGTAAAATCAGATAGGGCTAGGGGTGGTGCTTAATGTTTAGCATGTGTAAGACTCTGTGTTCATTCCCCTTCACTAAAAGAGAAATAAGAACAGCATACACAGAGAGTAGGGAATGAAGGTTTGCACAGAGGAAGGGCTTAAGAAATGTAAGATCCTAGGGCTGGACGTGATGGTAAACACTTTTAATCTCAGCTTCAAAGGAGGTACAAGAAGGAGGATCACTGTCTGAGGATGTGTAGAAAAAGTTATATCCTATAGGAAAAGTAATTAAAGCAAAAAAAGGGGGGGTGTGGCTAGGGACATAGCTCTGAGTTTGGTTCCATCAAAAATGAAAACTGTTGGTGGCTTATGCCTGTAACCCTAACTACTGAGTAGTTAGGAACTGAGATTTGATCACAGCTGGAAACCAGTCCAGGCAGGAAAAGTCCATGAGACTCTTATCTGTAATAAATTACAGAAGAAAAACAAAAGCCAGAAGTGGAGCTGTGGCTCAAGTGGTAGAACACTAGCCTTGAGCAAAAGCAGCTCAGGGACAGCAACTAGGCCCTGAGCTCAAGGCCCCAGGACCAACAAAACAAACGAAAACATAAATGCAAGATCCCAGGAGCATCTAGCACTTAGAGGAAGGAAATCAGATCCAATTGTTCATTACTCTGGTCTAGAGCAGCACTGTGCAGGAAGTAGGTTGTCGTAAATATTGGTGGGTGGGAAAGCAAATTATTATGATATTCATTAGCCAAAGGCTGAATTCCTTGTTTCCAACAACAACAAAGTCTAAGATAAAGCCAAAGCTTTTCCTAAGAGAACGTCCTCCTCCTGAGATGGGTTGGGCTACTGTTCAGTCAACTCGCCCCAGAACTGGAGAGAGGAACTACAGACTACCTGCCTGGCACCCTACTTGGAATCCTAGCACACATGAGCAGAACCGCGCTTGCACACTGTGCAAGCACATGAATCCATGGTGCTGGTGTGCATGCGCACAAGGAGACCTACCTGGAACGCAAGCTCGTGCCAGGGACCGCCTTGGCACCAGTGCGCATGTGCATGGAGCGGCGGCCTCCCTGGCATGGGTAGGTGCGCGTGCGCACGGACAGACCTACCTTCCTCTGCGTCGTTCCTCAGCGAGGCTTCCAGCAGCGCCACCCCGGCCTCGAAGGACACCTTCTTGCGGCGGCCACCTGCACTGCGCTTCCTCTCATGCTTGCGCTTGCGGTGCTGCAGGTCCTGCTCATACTGCGCCCACTTCTTCAGCTGCTGTGCCCGGCGCTTCTGGGCAGCGCGCAGGCGCTCCAGCGTGGGCACCTTCTCCAGCAGCTGCAGCTCGGTCAGCAGGTCCACGTGGCTGGCCATGGCCGGAGCCTCCCCTCACCCTGGCTGGGGCTAGCACGGTGCGCCCGGGGCCATGGGAGCATGCGGACTGCGGAGGGGCTGGGGCCTCATGGTGGGGCCTGTGGCAGGGAGAGAGGTGGAGACACTGGTCAGGCTCAGAAACTCCTGATTATGTCACCCTGCTGCCTGGGGTTCAAAACCCTTTTGCTGAATGTTTGCTTTCCATTGCTCCTGGGACAAATGTTTGCAGTGGCCCAGAGGAATCTGTGAGGTCTGGCTGCCCTGGGTCGTATTTCAAGGACACCATAGCCCCTCTAGTGGCTACCATATTGGACAGCATAGCTAGAGAACATCATTCTAGAAAGTTCTGTGGGATAGTGGAAGGTATCCACAAACACCTATCAGGTACCATGCCTTTCAAACAAGCTTTAAAGACCCCCTTTACTGGCTTCAGTATGTGGATGCCGGAACCAGAGGGGTACTTGGGACTCAAAACAACCCAAATCCAGCTACTCTGGGGGGCATCCAAATAGAAGCCAAGTCTTCAGAAATAGGAAGTCTCTGACCCTTCTACAGAAGCTCTTTGTTTGCTCATTATGGGATGTATTGTTATGGGGCTGGGACAGAAAGGAAGCAGAGGGTATAACACCCTCCTGTTGTGTTCTCCAAGAATGGCCTGGGAGCCCTGTGGGGAATCAA